AATCAAAATTATTAAAAATAACGCCATAATTAAATTCAACCAAATTTTTCCATAATACTTTTAGGTATAATTTCTTCTTTCTTTACCCTTTTTTCTTCTTCTATAAACATTCTTATTATTTTTTATTCCTTCTCCGAAAAAAAGATTTAATATGGCTATTCCATTTCGTCTTCAATATCAGTATCTATGAGTGCATCTTTGACATTATTGCTGGATGGAAGGTTATTATATTCTGAATGAAATATTCTTGGGATGACGCCAGTATCACATAATTTTTTCAGATCATTGTATTTTGCTTTAGTTAAAGGGAGCTTTGATTTATATTTGGCATTTAGTTGTTTTGGTTTTGCATAAATTGGTATAGACTCTTCTTTTGCGTTATCTTGCATGCTATATTTGACAATCATCGCATTTGGCATAGACTTTTTGAAGGTGGCTATACGGATTTTGCTTATTTTACCTACCAGGTTACTCTTGAAATATTTGTCACAAAATTCTTCATAGTTTTTAAAGTCTTCGTGTGTAAGCCCTTCCACCTGATATGGTTCGGGCTCCTTTCTAGCTAGCTGACAGATTGTCAGCCACTGTGATGGTGCCCAAACCGTTGTATGCCTAACAGAATTTTCAATTGTAGCGTGAATACTATCTACTGTCATCTCTGTGTGTCCTGGCAACAGATAGTTCATCTGTATTGTTTCTAAATTTTTCGACATCAACAAAGCGTTATGAATTGCTGCCAATACGATCTTGTTTTTATTTTGCCCAGGGCATGAATCCGAGTACAAAATCAAACATTTAACTGTTTCAAGTTGATCAACGTTGTTTATGTACTTTTTCAAAATGGTAGAAATCTCATTACCACCTCTTTTGGCTTCCGTTTCACCCCATAGATAACAGAAACCACGGCGAGTCACACTTTCGTAAAAACATAAATTAAAAACTGAGTATTTTCTTGAATAAAAAAGTAACATGCTGCTTCCATATGGGGTGTTCAATACCTTTTGAAGGTCAAACGAGGTGCATATAATAGAACTATTCCTTTTCACAATTTCTCTGTGACATTCTAACCTTTTCTTTGATGCATCTTTTTCTTCCAAATGCTCCTTCATTTTTTCACTCTCAGCTACATTTTTTCCTTCAAAACGTAAACATTTAAGACATTTGTCTTTTTTTGGCACATGGAACCCAATATTGAAATCTAAGTTAAAAATGTCACGGAAAAGCCTCTCACTCAAGTAATCGACCCCTTTGCCAGCATGAGTTTCTTTATAAATGCGGTAGAGATTTTTTAAGTTCTTAAATTCTACGGGCAGGTATAATTTTGTAGTATCTTTCCTGCAATAATGTGAAGGAAGTGCCGGTAATTGTTTTATAAAATCGACAGCTGAGGCCTTCACTGTATCAGATGTCTTATTTTTTGGAACAATACGTCCTCTTGATTCAGGTTTTGCTGATCCCATAATTGCATTTGTGAGAGTGTAGTAAACGTATCTCTGAGTAATATCGAGAGTTTTTAGCAAAAATTGCTGGCATACAGGACGTCGACCCTCTCCATCGTTAATAAAATATTTAAACGTATTTTCTCTTGAAGATAAGTCTTTCGATCTTTTTCTTTTAATTTCCATCTTTGATGCCATTCCTACCAACCAATCTTTTTTTCTTTCAGCGGACAGCGACCAAAAGTGGTCAAATATTTGTTTTCTTCTATCTTCAGCTATCTCGGCACAATTATTTCCACATTTTTTTCCAACGCAAGGGTTTTCTTGTAGTTGTTTTTCTTTAGTGATTGATCCATCTTTTTTATATATTGTTGGCCGGACTGTTTAAATTCTCTATTGCGTTTTTTTTTGTTCTGTCTCTTTTTTTTTATGCCATCCTCACCAACTCTTGTCTCTTTTAATCGTTTCTTACCTTTCTTCTTTCTTTTCTTTAGGCTAAGATCAATTTCACCCGAAGATTCATCACCAGTCTCTTTCCACGATGAAGAATCCCATTCGAAACCCTCTTGATCAGATAAAAAATCCACATAACTTTTCTTCATTACAGCACTATTTCTTTTTTTTTGTTTAGGTAGAGGTTCTTCATTTTCAGGAAAACTTGGTAAATCTTCATCTTGAGCATTTTCTTCTTCTAATGATTTTCTAATAATATCCATATCTTTATCAGGTATTATTTCCAATATCGTAGGTGTGAGATGTTCACTATTTTCTGAAGATTCTTTTTTTTCTATTTCTGTTTCTTGACTAGAATCTCTCTGTAATATTGTTTTTGTTATTTGTTCACAGCTGACTAAATTAGTTCCTGCAACATTTTCTGGTTTGTCTTTATTTTCTGTACTATTCATTTCCAGGTTTCCAGAACTATTTGCAGTAATGTCTTCTTGATAGTGCACTTCTTCAGGTTCCAAAAGACTCTGATCAATATTTCTGTAAGTGATGTCAATTTTCGGGTTGGCAGTAGTATATTCATCAATTAGTTCATCTTCATTATTTTTTGTATTCTGAAACGTTAAATATTTTTTGAATTATGTAGAACTAGCGACTTCAACCGTGTGGACTTCATTTTATTTGCATCATAAATTATAGCTTATGTGTTATTCTAATATATAAACTAAGTTACTGTAAAGTTTTATCAAAATCCGTTGAGTAGTTTTTGCGTGAAAGAGTAACATCCAACCTCACAAACTTTCTCATTTATAATATTAGTAGGATTAGTTAATTTACTTGATTTATAATAATTAATAATAATAATTAAATACTTGCATCATTTTCTTTGTTTGATCCTGGTGCTTTTTTCGGAGTTTTGTTATTAATAGTTTGATAATCATTGGGTTCATTTTGCCACCGTTCTTCATCTTTAGTTTTCAGATCATTTTCTACATTCTGGGATACATTTTTTAAATCTAATGGTTGCAGAATAAGCAGATCTTTGTTTTGTTCCATGTAAGACTGACTACCCAAAACTGTTACCGTTTCAGGCATCGGAATCACAACTTTTTTTGAAAGGTCTTGCACTTCATTTTCCTTAACCGTTTTCTTTCTTTTTTTTGGTGTTTCAGGCCCCAAGAAATATTGGATTTTCTTTTTGAACACTTTTCTCCTTTCCGGTTCCATTATTGGATATCGAACTGCAAAACAAGAAGAATATTAAATGATTCATAAAATTAGGCACGTAACTAGGTTTTAAACAAATGTTACAATGGTGGCATCATAATTTTTTAATGGATTAGTTAATTATTTCGTTATTTCGGTAAGTGGGACAACATCATGTAAGTGCATTGCTCTGATGCCAGATGCCAGTAAGTAGCCAAAGAACTTGTCTTATGAAAATCCCATAGTACCACAACACCCAGACCCAACTCAATATAGGATAACTAGTTTCAATATTGATCCGACCGAGAATCGATCCCTGGACAACGGTAATCTATACACTAATTTGTTATATAAAAAAGTATATTTACAATCACAAAACTAAATGGAAACACAAAGTAGGCAAATGTAATTAAAATTCTGGAGGCGAGTAGCCCTTTCGCATGTTTACGTACGTACGTAGCTGCGCGCAGCTGTAGGTATTTATTTCAAAAATACGGCCGAGTTACAATACTGTATTAGATAATATTACCGGGCCCTGGATCTCAGAGAAGGTTATACCATGAAAACCGGCGTTTTAGTATAGGAAAATATAAGGAAATAACTAATTGTATGTTTTGATTTATACCTACCTTCATCAAGCAAGTAAAGTTAACATTAAACAGCGTTACTCTTAAAAATGTAAAACAATAAATTAATGCATGAATATAAAAACTCACCAAAAATCCAGTATTGACGACTAAATACTTTGCGCGGCCCGAGCTCCCATAAAACACTTAACACGTCCGAACTAGTCCACGGTTTGCATCAACTGAAGCGGCGGCGCGCGGGGATATAAATTCTCGTGTGGTTTGTTGCGCCGCGGCGCCAGCGCACCGGTGCCAAAACCAATGTTTTAACCAACGCCTCAATAGTCAATCCACAGTCAATTTTGATTGTATTAAGTGTATACTTCTGTTATTAAATTTGTTTGAAGTACAAAAATTTTGCTTTTGTAGTAATTGAAGCGACAGTGCAAGTTTAATATAATATTAAGGAATGTAGGTTTATTCGCCGTCTTCACATTCAATGTTGAATCCTTAAATGGCTCATACGACCGTCATATTAAAATTCACATATAAGCTTAATGTTTGAAGTGACCACATCTAGCAAATTCAAGTATCTAGCTAATTGTATTATCCGACATTCTTATGTATTTATAAGGTAAAGCTAATTGTATGAAGCGACTTTACTATGTATTTGTAAGGTAAAGCTAATTGTATTAAGCGACAATCTTATGTATTCATAAAGTAAAGCTAAATGTATGAAGCGACATTTCAAAATATTTATAAGGTGAGGCTAATTGGTTTAACGTACATTGTCTGTAATTGTTGATCCAGGAAAGAGGGTTTAAATAACTCTCTGGTATTTCATAGTGAGCTTAAGTACACAGTTCCTAAATTTGTCAAAATTTTGTGTCGGTACATACATCGCAGTGCAAAATGGGCTCCGAAAATGCGATAGTATTAGGCGACAAAAAAGTGCTCAGATCGTCACCAAACCCAGCTCAAACGACGCGGAAAAATTCGCTGATTCCAAATATGTATATAAGTCAATTTCGCCCAAAATGTCGCTTCATACAAATAGCCCGGGAACCGTCGATATGAAATTCATATAGGATGTAATTAATTCATGATTGGACTGTCTAGTAAGAGAAAAAATTAAATGTTTGGTGTTTAAGATGTTCAATGTGCTCGGAAAAAAGCACATAATAATAGAGTAAAACAAAAAACTAGAAAATATACCGGAAATTATCAAACTGAGGAAGTTATATTGAATTTTAATAATAAAAAGAAGAAAAATAACTAATGACGAGGCAGTATGGTCCCAGACCTTAGCCTGTCCGAAAGGACAAACGAAAAAAAAAAAAAAAAATAACCTCTCACAAATGTTTCAATAAAATTTATCTATTAATTAGATAAACGAACGCCATACAAAAACTAATATGGCAATTTATAGACCAGCAGGTTTATCGGATGATGACACTGACAGCGATGATTATGGATTCTACGAAAAGCCGGTAAAACTTGTGTTTCTGTTCCGTGAATGGGAAAAAATCCCTACAACTAATTTACCACCACTACCAGTTTTATGTTAGTGCATAATATTGTTCAGACCCTTTTGTTCTGTAATCTGAGGTCCAGACTATGCAGTGTAGGTACCTACCTCGCGTTCCATTTGACAGCATCCAAAGGCACCACCTGTGTTGTGGTGTAATGAGGAATAATTTATTCTTCAATACACAATTCTACTGATGCCATTTCATCCAAAGCCAGATTCAATGTATCATTCCTTGGTGATAACACTACTTAGTGGTCTGCTTATTGTGAAATTATTAGAGAATAATAGTCAAAACCTAAATAAATTCTATTTTATGCAATTAAGGATAGGTTTAATGAATCATTGAATAAGTTAGAATTTCGAATATCATTTTAAATGTACTATTTATTGAAATATGTATACACTTACAAACTCACATTACTTACTAAATAAATTATAAATACCTAAATAATTAACTATTACTTTTCAGAAATCTATCAATTTAATGTAATATTATGCTATGGTAAAGTAAAAAAATATTATGCGGTTAGAACTCTTGAATATATTTATGTATCCAACTAATCAATATGTGATAAACCTTATCTCTTCATAAGCTCGATACTAATAGCGTAGAGGTTTATAAAATGCTAAGCATGCATGTATATGCAAACATGCCAATAATGTAAGTGGGGTCTTTTGATAGTGTCAATAGGAAAAAATGAAAACTTAGACTATTATTGACAAAATTACAACATTAGTGACTTGTATCCAATATAAAAATACTGTTTGTAGCAGAAATAAATTGTTCAGTGCTTTGTTATTATAAACATTTATGTTGTTTTGTTGTTTACTTTTCATAGTACAAGCTCTGCTTGGATTGGTTCTAAATAATGATTAATGTAGCTGATGCATTTATTTTGAAAAAGCTGTTCAATATTCAACAAAAAGTGATAGTTTGTTTTGTTAAATATTTTTCAGGTAAGGAAATATCCTATTCCTCAGCAAAATACTAGAAAAACAATTGAAGTCACCTTACAAGATGCTATTATAAATGGAAATGTTCAAGAAGTCGAAAATATTATAAATGCAGGTAGTTATAAAGACTATAAAATATTACTGACTCTATGTTTTGAATAAAATAAAATAAAAAATAAATAAAATAAAAATGCCTTTATTAAAGCTACCAGTTTACAAAATTTGTTTGAAAATAAGTTAATATAATTATGTTTGTATAAAATAATTATGTTTTGTTGTAAACGTAGCGTGTCAGTGACACAAGGCCTCCCCCAGCCTCTACAGGATGTCCAGCCGATGCTCGAATCTTTGGAGAAATGCTGCTTCCAATCTTCGCCACTCAGATCTGTTTAGGGCTATTCTTCTCCAGGGAACTCCCACTGTCTGTTTTATCTCGTCTGCCCATCTAGCAACTTGCCGTCCCCTGCTTCTTTTTCCATCTCTGGGGTACCAGTTGGTAACAACTTTACTCCATTTTTCTGTTTGGTTACGTATCATGTGGCCTGTCCATCTCCATTTTTGTTGTTTTGAATAAGTAATGCTTTTTCAGGTGACTTTTTTTATGTCATTATAGATTTTTTGTTCCATGTTCAATATTGTATAATATACAACTTTTGATAAATTTTATTAGGCCAGTGCTGATAATTTTTGATCAGGAAAAAATCAAAACAGTATGAAAACCATGCCAAAAGGAGGAAAACACATAAAAAAGAGAAAATATAGGTAATTTATGAGTGATTTGAGGTCAAGAAGGGTGAGGTCTCTTAAGGGGGGGGGGAAATGTTTTATCACAATTTTCGTACGAACTACAACTCTCACTGAAGATTGCGATAAAATATATAGTAATTTTTTAAGCATTCATCCTACATTAATGAATATGTTTTTTTTCTTATATTTATTTGCAATCAATCTTTATGTTAACCCAGATACTCTGAAATATTTTTTGAGTCTTTTTGATAATTTTTTTACATGATCCTGAAAATTTGTCAAATAACATGGAAAAAATATTATTATTATTTAAAGGATTTGACACATAAACCAAGTCAATAAAGCACTTTATTATGAAATAACATGAATAAAAAATAATTTACGTATCTTTTGTAATATATTTTACCAGAGTGTTGTCTTAAAACGACAGTAGTATAAAGTTGGTTAATTTGAATATGAGATGTAGTTTTATTCTTTGATTCACTTTTTGTAACATTGTATTTTTTTATTGCAGATCTCAAACAAAATGTTAACATGAAGTTGGATAGTGGTTGGACTCCTCTAATGCATGCCTGTTTCCATGCGCAAGATAAAATTGTAGAGCTTTTATTGAATTCAGGTGCTGATGCAAACTTACATGCAGGTTAGTTTAACAGAGTGATAAGAACATGTGATCTATATTATAGGTATTTATTTTTATGGCATATTTTCTAAGTAGGCGAGGAGCTCAATGGCACAGGTGGTTAACGCGTTAAGCAACTTTCGCTATTGTCGGTCATTGGATGGGTGATCAAAAACTTATTATCTCAAGCTTTTCTGGCATTCATAATAACAAATTGAACTATGTAACGTTACGTCAGGTAGATAAACTGGTTACCAAAACAGAATTACCTGTGATAAATTTTTGAATATTAAAAACTATGTTTGTGAAGAGTGTGTTGTGCCTAGCTACCATAGAAACTTTGCACGGTAATGAATCGGAACCATATGCAACAAAATGCAGATTAGGATTGATGCATCCTCTTACTGTGGCTGCGTCCTTCGCAGTCACAGTCTTGACAATGACCATACGTTCCATCTCGGTTGCTCAGACTCCTTAGAACCTACTACTACAGCAATTTTCAGAGCTGTTCGTATTTTAGACGAGAGCTCACGTAATATTATCGATACTTTGGAAGTCGCATTGCCTTTTAATGAAGATAATTTTTTAATGCACGATAGTTATAATTACGCTCTTTGTCGTTTTAAAGGTTTAACAAATGATTCATATGCAAGTAGGTATCGTCAGGATATACAAAAAATATTTGATTTAGGCTACGCTCAGGAACTTATGCAAAATTAACTCTCGGCTATCCGCGTTAGATATTTATCACATTTTGGAGTTGAAAATGCAAAAAAAAACCTGGCAAATTACGATAAGTTTTTGACGGTGCGGGAAAAGAATCTACCTCATTGATTTGAAATGGTTGTAACAAAATAATCTTATGGTAGGTCAGGTATCAAATTGGCTGATCGTACTATGAGGTGTTTATTGAAAAGGATATGATAGGTCATGATGACTATTATCTTCTTCTTCTTGTTGCTACGGGCGTTTCCGCAACTCGACGTCCTTTTCCGCAACTCGACGTCCTTATGGCGCCTGTTTTGCGTGAGGAGGGTGTATGGCCGGACTCACTCCAGCCAGCCCAGCTCCCCCAGGAATGCCCCCAGGGCCTTCACATTGGTGACTGCCTCTTGAAGGTTTCCCGGTGAGCCGAGGTATTTCGCCCGGTATTCGGTCACTCCGTTGTATTCCAGCAGAACGTGAGTAGCTGTTTCTTCTGACTCCATGCATCCTCTGCATAGGGGGCTGTCCGTGACACCTAAGTTGAAAAGATGTCTGTTAAAATGTGCATGTCCAGTGATAGCACCCGTTTTAGAGAAGGCAACGTTCACCCGTGGCAAAGCGAGCTTGGTCTGCCTGCACATCTCCAGGTCGAGCCAGTATTGCTGGTGTAGTGCGGCAGTGTGCTCGCGGATTTTATTGACGTGACGGCTTAACGGTATTGGGACGATTGGTTCAGGACCTGTTGGGGTCGTATCAGATCCCTTGCGGGCCAGCTCATCCGCAGCGTCGTTTTCGCGTGATCGACTGTGTCCCTTGATCCATTGTATGGTAATAGAATTGCTTGACCCTACCTTGTTTAAGGTTTGGTGGCATTCTTGTAGGAGGCTCGATCTGACTAAACAGGCATCTAGAGCTTGTAGGACTGATTTGCTGTCGGACAGTATTCGTATTTCCTGACCTGTTACCTTTCTTGAAAGGATCGCTGTTGCCGCCAGTGTGATGCCCATACATTCAGTTTGGAACACTGTGTTGTATGGGCTTAAGGGGAACGCGATGTGTATATTGAGGTCCTCAGAGAAAACACCCGCGCCCGTGCCCGATGAGGTTTTAGAGCCGTCGGTGTAGATCATGAGAGCCTTGTGTGTTACCTTTGGATCGTTGTCATCCAGTAGATGTATTCTGTACTTTTTGTCAAATATGAAGGTGGGTATTATTTTATCACATGCAGCATCTATGAGCGTAGTGTTTACCCATTCCTTCAGTATACCGTTGAGATGCCTTGCTCTTTCGAACCTTACCAGTCCAAACTTTTGTAGTCTCAACGCTGTTTTAGCCGCTTCCTGTCTTATGTCGATATGGAGCGGTGTGATGTTTAAAATAACTTCCAGTGCTGCGGTTGGAGCTGTACTCATGCACCCGGTCACCGCGCTGCATATCTGCCGCTGGAAGCTTTGTAGTTTGTTGACACAAGTAGTCTGGATAGATCTTGGCCACCATATGATGGCGCCATAACTTACCATTGGTCGTATGACTGTGTAATATAACCATAGGAACAGTTTTGGTGCAAGACCCCAGCGCTTCCCTAACATTTGACGGCATTGCCAAAGTGTTACGCTGGCTGTCTTAATTTTGTGTTCCACATGGTTACTCCAGTTTAGCTTACTGTCAAGTATAAGGCCTAGATACTTTACCTCCTTCGACAGTTGTAGTGTGATACCAAACAGCTTCGGCAAGTTGAAAGCACCTACGTCACGTTTGGTTGTAAACTCTGCTTTCCAGCTCTGTTTTTGTTGGATTAACTGTGAGGTCGTATTTCCTGCACCAGCATTCAACCAGTTTCAAAGCACCTTGCATGGTGTTACAGGTAATGCTGGCGTGGGTGCCTAGGGTAAGTATAGTAATTTCATATGCATACCCTATGGTGTAGTAGTGGTTCGAGTTTAGCTTGGTCAGCAGGTCGTCAACTACGAGGTTCCACAGAAGTGGCGAAAGAACCCCTCCTTGCATACATCCTTGTGCCACCAGTGCTCCTCTGCTGTCCTCACCTTTTACCCGAACTATTCTATTGCGAAGCATGTTAACTGTCCAGTCAATAATTTGTTGCTCCACTCCGTGTCTTCTGAGAGCAGACCCAATGCTGGTGAAGTTGGTCTTATCGAAAGCACCCTCTATATCGATGAAGGTTCCGAGGCAGATAAGTTTATTTTGAAGGGCTTCTTCTATCTTACCGACTAACTGATGGAGAGCCGATTCAGTAGATTTACCTGAACTGTAGGCATGTTGATGTTTATGTAGTGGGGCATTGATTAATGCTTCACTGCGTAGGTATCTGTCACATAGCCTTTCCATTGTCTTAAGTAAGAAGGTTGTTAGGCTAATGGGCCTGGCTTGAAAGAAAGAAGAAAGAAAGAAAAATAAATTTATTTGAGACAGCACACACACAACAAACAGAACAAAACACACATATTTTTTTTTGTCTCAAATCGGTCCCAACTCAGCATGTGCTGATGTTGCCATCAGCGCTGGTCTTCCGTTGGAACCGGTTTAGTGACGACACGAAACAATAATATTAACAAGTAATAAAATAAACATAACAAAATAAAAACAAAACAACAACAATGTGAGTTCAGGGGGGCGCCACTATCGCCATGTCAAAATTGGTTGCACCCGGAGCACAGGTTCCGAACGCGGCCCCGACTGACATTGCCATTCAGAGACAATCTTGGTAATCTGTTTATTGTACTTCTGATTATTTTTTCTTTTTTCTTTATAAAATGTAATCTACAATTTAGGCAATTTACAAAAATTTTAATTTTTTAGTACCAGACGAACGAAAAGAACAATTTACATTTTTCTTCTGATAAAATATTAAATATCTATAAAATAAACAAATTTCGGATACACATGTAAGTTGAACATCTCCTCACAATCTTTAAATTGCACTAGTATCATGTAAGAGTGTTTCCTCTGATTTTTGATGCATATTAAGTAAATTGCGTAATTTTTTTCTAAATAATTTGACATTTTGTAGGTCCCTAATTGGTGGAGGTATATTATTCCAGCATCTGGTTGCTGCATAGCGAAAACTACCTCGAAAAGCAGCAGTTGCATGAAAGGCCGTTGACAATTGCAAAGCCAGCCTTCGGGCACCATATGGCTTATTATTTGACATCACGGAGAGCTTATTATAAAGATAGGCAGGTGTTTTATGCCTAATTATGCCAAACATTAAACAAGCCAAATGCAGTTTCCGACGATGACACATTTTTAATATGGATTGTTTGTTCAAGAATGGAGTCACGTGCGCCCTTAACGGAACATTAAAGCAAAATCGAGCACAGGCATTTTGAACTCGCTGTATTAATTTTCGTGTTTTTGAGAATAAGCGTGGACCATAAACAGTGTCCATATAGTTCAATTTTGACAAAACTAGAGAGTCTACTAATTGCACCCGCAAACTTTCGCTAAGAAACTGTCTCACCCTGTAGAGAACCTTTAATTTATAAAAACAATTTTGGATACAACTGCTGACATGTTTATCAAAACGAAAGTTACAATCCATAATCAGGCCTAAGTTGCATGCTTCATAGACCCTTTGGATTGGTTCTCCATTAAGTGTTATAATTTTTGATGTGTTAATTTTATGCAACTGTTTTTGAGTACCAATTAACATAAATTTTGTTTTAGATGCATTTAGCAGCAGACTATTATTTGAGGACCAAGTTGAAATATTAGCCAGATCATAATTTATTTTCTCTATTGCTTGATCAATATCTTCAGGTTTAAATGAAATGTATATCTGAGTGTCATCAGCGTACATGTGATATTTGCAATAAGTAATGTCTGAGTGCATATCGGCAGAGTACAAAACATATAGGTTTGGTCCCAAAACGGAACCTTGCGGAACACCCTTATCTATGGCCATATTGTCCGACAACACTGTTGAACCATCATTACCACTCATTTTAACACACTGGTACCGTTTACTTAGGTAGCTATTGAACCACTGTATTGCTTGCCAATCAAAACCATAATATGCTAATTTAGACAAAAGAGCCCTGGAATAATCTAGCAAAACAAGTAATGTGCACATGCCCTGGTCCTGAGCATGAAGTATATTATCCGTTACATCTAGAAGAGCGGCAGTGGTGCTATAGCCCTTCCTAAACCCCGACTGGACCCCGGGTAAAATATCATTCTCTTCAAGATAATCCATCAGTTGTATGCTCACAGCCTTCTCTAGGATTTTTGACATACATGGTAATATACTGATTGGTCTAAAGTCCTTCATGTCTACTGGATTGGGGATCTTGGGA